CTGTGGGGAGACCTTATTGAGGCCTTTCAGTACTTAACGGAAGCTTTTAAGAAAGATGGGGACAGGCTTTTTAGCAGGGCCTGTTGTGATAGGACAAGTGGTAATGGTTTTAAGCTAAAAGAGGGTAGATTTAGACTGGATATAAAGAAGAAATTTTTTGGTATGAGGGTGGTGAAACACTGGCACGGATTTCCCAGACAGGTGGTCGATGCCCCATCCCTGGAAACATTCAAGGTCAGGTTGGGCGGGGCTCTGAGCAGCCTGGTCTAGTTGAAGATGGCCCTGCTCATTGTAGGGGGTTTAGACTAGATGACCTTGAAAGGTCTCTTCCAACCCAAACTATTCTATGACTCTATAAAAACTTAAATCTAAGATGGATACAAAAAAAGCATTACGCTTCCCTATTGAACAGAAGTAAAATAGCAATAATAATTTGATGTCAATCTTAATTACCAGTTAATTGTGGCGTTTGGCTAATGACACTGTGGTGGTGAGGCCCTGGCACAGATTGCCCAGAGAAGCTGTGGCTGCCCCCTCCCTGGCAGTGTTCAAGGCCAGGCTGGACGGGGCTTTGAGCAACCTGGTCTGGTGGAAGGTGCCCCTGCCCATGGCAGGGGGGGTGGGCCCAGATAGTCTTTAAGGTGCCTTCCAACCCAACCCATTCTTGATTCTGTACAGAATGCATTGCAATAAAGAAATGGTCAAGTTCAGAGAGGTGGTTAATGCAAAGAAGTCCAAACCAGCAGGAGCTCTTCCCTATTTACCTAGTTGTTGTAAAAGCCCTCTGTTCACACAGTTGTGTAGGAGCTGTTAGAAGTCTGATAACACACTCAGATTGCTGTAAAAATAACTGTAGTAGTCTCAAGACTTTATCTCAGAGCCAGTGATGTTTTTATTGTCTGGAAGAGTACTCTCTATTGTCGGAAAGAATACTCTTACAAAGCATTACCCAGCTGTTGTGCTAGCCAAGCTTGATGGAAATGACACGGTTACTGAAGAGTACCTTTAACACAGTTCAGCAGAGTTGGTTTGTAACACTACGTGGAGTAGCAGCGGTACTTACCCAAGAGTGGAGCTTTGAAATGGAAATCTCATTTAAATTTTAAATATATTTTATTGTACTATATAGAGAGCTTTGCTTTTGATAGTATCACTGTGCTATTGTAGTGTTAGCCGATCTTGAGAGCAGCTGAACAATTTTTCTGGAAAGGGTAGAAAGGGAAATTGTGACACTATAGACTGTTCTCAGTATGTCCCAGTATTAGCGGTGGAAGAGTACAGGGGCAAGTGTGGCGTATCTTATTACCCAAGGGTTTCCTGACCTTATAATACTGTGGTCCTTGGAATGATCTGCCAAGTAGAAATCAGCTTTGCGTTGACTGCTCTTTGAGAAATTTTGTGAATGCTAGTATTCGTTGGTTAAAAGTGACTAAATGTGCTTGCGCTTTATTTCAAGGGCCTCTTCAGTTGCTACTGTTAGTGCATTAGTGACATATAATGCGATTTTTATTGTTGAGTTCAACAGTGTTAATTCTCCTAGGTTTTTAACTTTCTTCCACTAGATGGCCCAAGCATGCTTTCAAGTAGCCTATGAGAACTTCTACTTAATTTGTAAAATAAATTTGTGTCATTTTAGCTGAAGTTAAAATGGCATGTCGTGAAACCTGTGTAATTTGTGCTTGTTTAAAGTACAAACACTTTATGTCAGTGAAGATAGTGTTGGATAATGTAAGTAATACCTGGTAATGAAGATTGTCTCATGTATCATCTTCCCTGTCCCTCTTTTCGCTTGATTAGAACGTTTCTTACTGAGTGTAGTACAATACTGTTTAGTTTTGCATTGAGGTGAGAACTGATGTACTGTCTCTCTGACAGTGTGTTCGACAGTAGTGATTCAGAGAGACTGTGAGAAGGTGTCGATCTCAGGCTGAAGTTTGTCCCTAACGTCTCCTGGGAGTAGACTTGTATTTTTCAGGCCACCATAACTGAATTTTTTTGCTGCTGGAGTTTACTGCGTAGGGTTTTGGTAAGAACTTTGCAGTTTATTTCGCCAGTATAGATGTGGTCAGTGAGTTCTGAATAGGTGTAGTTGTTAAATGTATGCACTGTAATTTAATTCACTGATTTTTGTTGTCTAACAGACTTCCAGTAGAAGCTTGTTATCAAGGCTGTCGTCTTGGTTAGTGGAGAAAGACAGGTATACACAGAAGGCAGCTCTTACCGTGAGGGTGGACACTGGAATGAGGCTGAGGAAGTGGTGGGATATTCATCCACAGACACATTAAAAACTCATCAGGACCGAGCCCTGCGCAGCCTGAGCCTGTTGGGCCAGCTCTGACTGGGAGATTGAACTAGGTGACCTTGAGAGGTCCCCTCCAGCCTCAATTACTCTGTAATTCCAAAAGGAGACTTTGTTAGTTCCTCTTCTCTGCTGGTGTTTAAAACAAAAATAAATACGAGGAAAAGGAATTGTTGTCTTTCCAAATTCGTTCCTAACTTGCTAAGTGATCAGAGAGCTGGAGCACCTCTCCTGTGAGGAAAGGCTGAGAGAGTTGAGGTTGTCCACCCTGGAGCAGAGAAGGCTCCGGGGAGACCTTAGAGCAGCCTTCCGGTACCTGAAGGGTCCTATAAGAAAACTAGAGAGGGACTTTTTACAAGGGCATGGACTGACAGGGCTAGGGGTAATGGCTTTACACTGAAAGAGGGTAGATTTACGTTAGATATAAGGAAGAAATTCTTTACTCTGAGGGTGGTGAGGCACTGGAACAGGTTGCCGAGAGAAGCTGTGACTGCCCCCTCCCTGACAGGGTTCAAGGCCGGGTTGGATGGGGCATTGAGCAGCCTGGTCTGGTGGAAGGGGTCCTTGCCCGTGGTGTGAGAGTTTGAACTAGGTGATCTGTAAGGTCTCTTCCAACCCAAACCATTCTATGATTCTGGCTTCCGTATTTTGCATTAAGTTCCGGCTTTGCATTTGCTTCTGAGGACGCTGATGTGGTGGTATTAGACCACCAGAAAAAGTACATGTGTCTGTGTGTGCTTTTTTCCTTTTTGAGTTGCACCACCCCCCTTACCCGCCCCCCAAAGGGTGGCATGTAAAGGGAGTGCTGTATTCCTTCATTTCAGGACTGCACTTGCCAAATCCCCTCTCTGTCCTGTTATGTTTTAGATCATCACTCCTAGTGTCTCCTTTAACAGGAATAGTAGATTATCTCTTGTTCCTGTTTCTCTTTTGCTCTTTTCCTTTATGGAAGAGAGTCAGCTGTTGTCCCGTCCTCTGCATCTGACTCTGTGCTCCTTTTTTCCTTCCTTTTCCTGTTGTTAGTATTTGTCCTGTCCTGCCACCTCCCTGCTCCTCTTCCCTTTTCTGGCTGGAGAGAAATCAACATGTCCATGTGTACTAGAAGGATGGACATAAACGGAGTATTATCTTGATGAAGGGGATATCACTGCCCGTAGTCAGTTCAGTAGACAAAGAGGTAATCTGCTCCAGTTCATGGCTCTACTGATACATGTTGGAGTTCTGCATTTGCAGATCTGCACCATCCCTGGAGGTGTTTAAAAAGCATGTAGAGGTGGCACTTTGGGATGTGGTTTAGTAGGCATGGTGTTGTTGGGTGGATGGTTGGACTTGATGATCTTAGAGGTCTTTTCCAACCTATGATTCTGTTCTATGATTTGCGGTATTTCTGTCTTCCTTTATAATTTCTTCCAAAGTCAGTAACTTTCAGTTTATTGAGCAATATACCACACAGATTTTGCCAGTTGAGCCAGGTGCAGAGAACTTTTTAAATACATTGGTTATGTCGTAGAAGTGTATGTTTAGAAGAAGAGAAAAATGATTCTATTGGGATTTCTTTTTGAACTACTAACTGACTTTGTGTAAGAAATTGGTTGTATGGTCAGTTATTAGGCATTGTTATTGGTAATACAATTAGTGACTGGAAACTAAACTAATGAAAGTAATTCCATTCTTAGCATTCTGGTAGTGGGAAACATAGGTATGGGATTAAAATGTTAATGATGTATTTTAGTTAGTAGCATGAGTTATGGTTGACTTCTAAATTTTCTTTTAATTGAATTAATTTAATAGCAAGTGTGAAATAGAGTGGGTTTAAAAAGTTGTTATACTTGGAAATCTTTGATACAACAAACAAATAGGTGTCATTTGTCTACGTATAGTTTTGCGTGCTCTATATTATATGGAACTTTGAGTGCTGTAAAATGGAGATTATCTAAAGATGATGTGAAAGATTTTCAGCTAGTAGGTCAGTCAAGTCTCAATCAACGTTTTGCACTTATGTTTTCAGTAACTAGACAGTTGAAGCAGGTAGTAAGGTTTGTTTTCAGCCAGACATTTTAGTTTGTATATCTGGTGCAAATAGTACAATAATATATGCCTATTGTATCATTTTGTAGCTAGGAATACAGAAATTATGTTTTAGGGTAAACAAAATGAAGTGATAGTGATGGACAAGATGTCAGGAAGGTGTTGTGTTTCATACCTATCTAAATGTGTTTACGTAGTGGTACCTCTTAAATACAGATAGGCATTTTGAATAAGTAAATGTAGTGCCTTTGGGCGTGTGACGTAGCAGCCATGTAGTATCATTTGAAAGCTGGATAAAGCTGCAGGATGTTGCATTATCAGGTGAGAGCTTCTAAACCACTTTCCGCTATAAAAAATGTGCACCCAGTTCAGTTTAAATTTGGTTTGATATAACTTCGCTGTTGCTATGGTTGCAGCATTGTAATACTGAAATCTTTACCCCAGTGTCAGTTTTGTTTGGCTGACAAAAGTAATTCTAAAATCAAGCTGCATATTGCAATCAATAAAGCTTGTTCTCATGGCTAAAATACCAACTCCATTTTTTTAACTTTTCAGAGTAGTTCAGAAATAATTTAAAAAATGACAGTAGCAATTGTGGACTTAAATAGTGTTAATGTTATTATTTATCTGCGATTCTGATTTTTTCTTTATATTCCTTTATGTCCTTCACTAGATGTCACTAGTAGATTTGGGAAAGAAACTTTTAGAAGCTGCACGAGCAGGTCAAGATGACGAAGTTCGCATTTTGATGGCAAATGGAGCACCTTTTACCACAGATTGGGTAATGAAAACTTTTGTAGTGTTCTGTAAATCTTCTTACTTTTCTCACCTGAAGAAGAAAATAGGATTATTTCAATTAAGCATTTATAGTGCCAGCCTGGGGAGTTTCTTCTTGAAGTTCGGCAGTCACGTCATCTAATGTCTAATTCAAAATTAAAACTGTCTGTTTCTTCATATGATCTCCTACTGATTTTAGTAACAGACTGTGAATGAGCTCATTTTGGTGGCTTTCAAGATGAACTTTGGAATGGTTAATGGGAGAAAGGAGCAATCATCCTCCCAGTTATTGTGTTTATGCATTTAGTATAGTAACAGGTCTGAATTAAAAAAGCATTCCTAACTACCTAATACATGCAGCTGAGAGTTTGCTGATATAGGGGGTCCGAGTTGTCGTTTGGAGGTGCCTATTCTTGAATAGGTTGTATAAGAAGGCCAGGTACCTAAAACTCTAGAGTATTTACGAGCCCTTAAGAGCCTTAATCTACTTAGAGTCAACTTGAAAGTTAGGTCACTGTTTTGAGCAGGAGATTGGACTTAAATGAGCTCCACAGGTCCCTTCCGATGTTGGTATGGCATGTTGACCAACACTAAAAATGGTGTTAGGCCTCTTGAAACATCACACCTCAAAAGATAGAAAAAACATAGCATGGACCTCAAAAAGTTGCTTCTAGTGAGCTGGTTTTAGTGTGTTGTGATTATTGGGGGTGAAGAAAATTTTTTCCTTCTTCTTCATACTATGTAAAAGTTTCTTTCCTTGAGACTGCAAGGGAAAATGAATTTGAAGTGGTGGCCTGTCACCTGAGTTTGATAGCTCCAGAATAAGAAGAAATATGTCATACTGACATCTGTTAAAACTCCACTTTTTCCATTACATTACAGTTGGGAACATCTCCACTTCATCTAGCAGCACAGTATGGACACTATTCAACAACAGAAGTGTTGCTGCGAGCAGGTGTGAGTCGGGATGCCAGAACCAAAGTGGACAGAACTCCACTACATATGGCAGCCTCAGAAGGCCATGCCAGCATAGTAGAAGTCTTGCTCAAGGTAAAGACTGCTGAAACAAGGTCATGGACGGGGATATTACAATGGTTTATGACAAAATGTTTGCAATTTCTATTGACTTATGAAACCAACATTGAGATGATATGAATATTTATACTGTGTGCATTGGGTGCTTTGTTTTTCTATTAAACTGTAATTTATTTTAGCTTTAAAATCATCATGATTTCAGGTGAATTACTTTTTGCTGTTTCAAAATAAGACTACTTCCTAATTTGACAAGGTGTGAGTAACAGCTTTTAGAAGAAAGGCATGTTATGCTTTAAGGAGTCTTTAATCCTTTGAGGTAAATAATTTGTTTGATAGTTAGTTTGAAGCACTTTTAATAAATCTGCAAACGTAAGATAACAGGGCATTACTGCTAGAGAAAGACAATTTTGGGTTTCATTCTGTGGCCGGCATTATTTAATTCAGATACTTCTAATGACATACTTAATGCAATGATCTTATTTGTAGCACGGTGCTGATGTCAATGCGAAGGACATGCTCAAAATGACTGCACTTCACTGGGCTACTGAACATAACCACCAAGAAGTTGTAGAACTCTTAATAAAGTACGGAGCAGATGTTCATGCTCAGAGTAAATTTTGCAAAACGGCATTAGATATTGCAGTAGACAATGGAAATGAAGACCTTGCAGAAATATTACAGGTAATTTTTGACTTGTGATGCTAAGGGAACTTACAGAAAAGTACTTGTTTATACATATGATAAATCAAGCTTTAAATATAGTACCTGTGAGACCATATATTGACTGATAATGCTAGACTCCAGTCTAGTTCATGACGTGGAAATTAGATTAATGTTAATAAACATTAATTGGCCAAAGAGCATTTTTGTCACCAATTCAAGAATAAGTACCCTTTATTTCCTTAAATTTGACTGTTCTAGTACACAGAACTAGGTGGAGCTTCACAAGCAAAGTGTAAAAAACTTAGAGTACCTGCTTTGCCAATATGTTTTGACTATACCTTAGTGTTCAATAGTTTCATATACAGATATTAATTTCCTAACAGAATTGGAGATGAGGAGAGAAGAGATGGCAATTTTTCCTGAACTAGAAAAACTAGGATTGAATTGTTGGATAAGTGATTGGGACTGGGATTGTAATAGATACTTCCATGGAAACGTGAGCTCACTGTTCCATAGTGATCTTAAAGACAAATTAAGTGCTAAGCATTATTGAGAAAAGAGTAGAAAACAAACCAAAAAATGCCATTATGCCACTGTATAAATCTGTTGTTCCCCTACATCGTAAACTGTGTCAACTTTTGGTCTGTTCCTTTAGCTTCGTCTTCATTGCAGAAAGGATATAGTAAGTAAAAGTCAGTAATAATTCAAAGAAAGACAAAAAGAAGAATGCCATCTACAATTCATGGCAATTGCTAAGCTGTCAGAGCCAATTTTCATGGGATATAGCTGCCACAGCAGTCTTTGTTCTTCAGGCCTCTATCTTATACCTGAGCTTGCACATCTACAAAATGGCTTTGTCTTTATACAGTCCCCTTTGTTTACAATAAATGATAAGGAGGAGTAGTGGTGTGTCATGATTACCTTTCGCTTCAGCAGATCTTTTGCCTTTAGATTTCAGGATCCCCCCAAAAAAAGTTTCTCCAGTACTTACACAGAGCACAAGATGTGACACGGTGTGTGTATACTGCATGAGTATAATGAGGGAGATCCTCCTTGTTTGAGTGGAATGTACAATAATTCTAGTTCTTACATGGTAAATAATTTCTTTATACCTACAAATGGAATGATGATATTACCTTTGTCTTCTAGATTGCAATGCAGAACCAAATTAATACGAATCCAGAGAGTCCGGACACTGTGACGATACATGCAGCAACACCGCAGTTCATCATTGGACCTGGAGGGGTGGTGAACCTAACAGGTCTGGTATCTTCTGCAAATACATCAAATGGAACAGGTATTTAGATGCCTATAGAATAGCTGCTGGGATTTTATACGTTAATTGATTTTCACCATTTAGTGAAAAGTCTTTAGGAAAAACAGTGGTAAGAATAGAGTAGTTACCATGTCTCTCTTCAGTATTTTTTATGTATTGTATATATCTAAGTACTTACAACAACAGACTTGACAGAGTTATCAGAAGCTGTATTTGCTTAACAAACTTGCCTTCAGAATAGCACTTTGGTTTAATGTTGCTGAGAACAGAGTGTGTGTGCGTTAGAAGCTTCAGCACAATAATTAAAAAAGGGACTTAATTGGTCTTAAATTTATCAGCTGACTTCTTTTTTTTGTCCTACTAGATGAAACAGGAGTGTCTGCTGTACAGTTTGGAAACTCATCAACGTCAGTATTAGCCACGTTGGCAGCTTTAGCAGAAGCGTCAGCTCCACTATCTAATTCTTCAGAAACACCAGGTTAGAAAGCTAAGTCATTTAACCTCATGTAATAAACTAGAAGTATATAACTGGTGCTTTGGAGATACAGTTCATACAGAAATGAGATGACGATCTTCCTTGCTTTTTTCAGTGTGAGCAAAATTTTTCCTTTATCACCTGGAAGGTTGCCAGATTTATATGTACAATTATTTCTTAATAAGATTTCTGACTGCAACTGGTATTTCTAGGCCTAATGTGAGTAGCATTCATCTTACTGAAAGCAAACATAATTCAGGAGATAGTCACATCTTTGTCTACATAATGTCTAGTTGCATTTGGTGGGAGAATGTTTTCTTTGAGTGCTTCTTTCTGTTAAATGTTGGGAAGTGGTCCGCAAAGCTGTTTGCATATGCCTTGTCAGCAGTTTTCTTAATCTCTCACCCAGAAGGCACAAGAGTATTTGGTGATCGTAATGTGCAGTTTGCCCATTAGAATGTCTATGAGTCGTCTTTTCAACACTGAGGCATTTTACTTGCATTTGTAACAATAATTAGTATGTTCCACTTCAGGCCGGTATGCTGTCATGGCACTTCTGGTAAACGTAGGCCTAGCGATACATTATTGTTCTCCTAGAAAGAAGCAGCCTGCATCCCTCACTGCAGCCCTATGCCCCCTCTCTTATTCCGTAAGGCCATCACAAGAAGCCAGAAAGGCACAAGGAATTCCATTGCCCCTAGCTCCCGAGTTTTGCATTCCTCTTTCTTAACACAAAAAAACCTTCACCCCTGCCCCATGGATCTTTGTCAGTTACTGCTTTGTCTGAAAAAAACTTTGGTCAAGGTTCCGTACTCTGCAAGTTGCCTTGGATATCTTTCTTCATTCTTTCGGAATAATGTGGTGGCTGCTTTGTGTACTTTCACTTTTGTTCGTTACAACATGCAAAGTGAAGAAAGACATGACAGTCCAGAGTCTTGCAGCATCCAAGTGGATTATAAAGACTAGTCATGACCACTAACAGGTTTGAGAAAGAGAGTTATAAGCAAGGAAAAGACCTCCTTTTATAATCTAAGTAAGTTGTGATACCATCTACAATAAAGTTAAAATGTGATCAAAATCTTCTGAATTATTGAAAGTTACTTTATAAGAGGCTACCAGTAAACTTCTCTTCCAGACTGTATTTTCCAATTATGATGTATGTTAATATCTTGAAATTGCGTAAAAAAATCAGGTAAAATTAGCACTAAGGAGGTCAAGTGCTATGTTAATTCTTTGTTAGCTAGCTTTGGAACACAGAAATCCCTAGTTTTTGTCTCTGAAGAAGGCTATATGGTGTACTTGAATAAAAAACTGCTGTTATTCTGAGAGTCTTAAAAGGTGTTTTGGTGGAGCCCTGGATTTCTAAAGAAAGCTGTGAAGTATTTCATGCATGCTTTACTTGCCCAGTGCTGTTCTGTATATGTTGCTCCCCAGTTTTCTCAGGCAATATGATATGTCTGTAGCTACTGAAACTTTATGGTAGGTCAGATGGCTTTTTTTCTTTTTTACTTTTTCTTTATAGTTTTTAAATAGTTTTTATTTACTATTTGTAGTATCTATTATACTGACACGTAGCACTGTAGCCTTATTTCCAAGTTAGCTTGGGGTTTTCAGCGCTGATTATTGGTCTGAGATGTAGCAAGATGAGCCTAACTTTGAAGCCAGTGACTGGAGATCACTATGGAGAGCAACAACCCTCTGTCGATTGAGGACATATGGTGCTTATGGTAACTTGAACTTTTCTGAACATGGTTCTAAAATAATGCATTTATTTTGCTTTTTTGTTGGTGATGGTCAGTATGATAAATTTTACAGAACTGAGATACTTTGTGTGGCCAAAGTCTTTGGTACTTAAAAATTCTCACAGAATTCAGCTCTGCAGATTACATCATTCTTAAGGACACAGTTTTCACTGAAAATGTAGAAGAGGTCTGTACTCTCAGGCTTGCTGACATGACAGTTGCATCCCAACATATACCTGAATTTTCATCTCTAAGTATTTTGAAGTCCTGCAGGATTTCTTCTTTGTACAGCTCTTTGCTGCTGCTGCTTCTGAAAGCAGTACCTAAGTACAGCTATACTATTTTATGAAATTTAAATATTGCAAGTGAAGTGGCTGATTCAAAACCAGAATGCAGTGCCTTTCATTACAGAAGAAGCTGCTGATGTTTTCAATAAATTAATACATTTCAGTGAAACTCAGATCTTAATTGTAGGAGAGAGAAACTCAAGATGGGATTGCATAGGATTACGGAGCATTAGATGTGTGTCCAGGACTCAGTAGTAGGCTTTGGTAGCTAACTGAGGGTTCTCATGGTTCATGGCCCTGCCCTTGCAGTGGTGTGATGTAACTGATGTTACACGTCAGTAAACCACAGAAGATAAAAATTACTAAGAGAGGAGGCAGGAGATGACAGGCAGGAAGGAATAAGCTTACAGTCTTCATGCAGTAGCTTCCCACCTCCAGTAACGCAATGTGCATCATACCTAACCCTCCTGTTTATTTCTGTTCTGCTTAGATTTTTATGCAGATGTGTGGGCAATCTTGCAGCATCTTACTGTCTTGCAAATTATTTGCTGGATTCTTACTCTTTTAATAGTTTATAAAGTGTAAAGAATACAAAAGCAGCTTTTTGTTACCTGTGCATCAGTAGTAAGCGTGTTCAAGAAAACAGAAGAAAAACAGCAACACAAAGAACCTCTTCTCTTTGTGCTCATCTTATAAAAGATCCATTTGTAAATACTCTCCATTGTAGGGTTGAGAATTCTGGGAACTAAAAGTCTGACATTGAGTTTGAAACTGAAAAATCAGAGCTGTTTGCCACAGCAGGTAGTATTGGCACTTGCAACTTGGATTTTTTTGTGACAGTGGTCTTTCTTACTGCTTAGCCTGTACTTGGAAGCCAAATCAGGTTCAATACAACACTACTTATTCATGTAGGACTTACTGTTTTGGTTCAGTGAATAAACACTCTGAATATTTAAGCAGTGCTATAGGACAGTAATCTCTGAACGTAAAGATCTTAAGAAAGCGAAGGCTGCAGCCGTTATTTGAACTACAGAGTGATTTTTGTGTGTGTGTTATATTGTAATTAACTTAAAAGATGAAAGCTTCAGGGTTTTATCTACCTTCTCTCATCTCAAGTATCACAACACAGTCTATAGGATTTTAATTTCATCTCTGTAGATAGAAAGCAGTCTAATGTCTGTTATTTAAATCAAAGGCTTTGCTTTTACCCTGACAAATTGAAAATAAATTACAGAATTAGTGTGCTTGAAATTCTTTGATTGTGCACTAGTGATCTTTCTCTTTGTCTCAGTATCTTGTTTTAAAAAACATGGGTGGTAGTGCAAGACCCCAGTTACAGAGTATAGTACGAGCTGTGGTATGCGTTGTAGTTCTGAATGCAGTCTTTCCCTTATCTTACCTTGGTTTATAGATGTAATATAGAACTGTGAGAGTTCATTGCTGTATACTCATTATTGAATTAGGAGTTTGAAATATATAGTTGAACTGGGATTTTCTATTTGTACTCTTACTTGTAAAATTATATACATACAGTGTTTATTTTACTTTAAGCTTTATCTTTCTCCTTCAAAGGTATAAAAATGTCAACACTGCAGAACTTTTTCTTTAGTCCTGTTTCATACTTTGTATAATAAATAAAGTTGTGGTTGTGTTTGAAGTACCCATGTAGTACAGAGAAAACTTTAACATGCTCTAGAATCTCCTTCAGTCTGCTACTGTCTTGAAGACCGTTATGGAAAGCAGAGAAAGGAGGGCTGGGTCCTGAGGTACTTGCTGAGGCAAGGTACTGGCAAGGCACTGGCTGAGGAGTAGTTACAAGCTAGTAGTTTAATTTTTTTTTCATTACACTATTAGCGTAACTTAGTCTGGTTCATGTACAATGCAGAAGTTATTTGTGTTCTTGAAAACAACTCTTCTTCTTGCTGCCCTGTTAACACTGAATCCAGAGTGTCAGTTTTGAGTGGACTGTATCTATTAGGAAACATGCTAAATAAAAAAGAGATTATATTGAGCAAGGTAAACCAGGACAGAGTTGTATGTATATTTCAAATTGTTAGTGCTTTGTGTTGGCCTGGTGAAAGATTTCTAGTAACAACATAATATGCAGTAATGCATGAATTGGAGGGTGGGGGGAATCAAATTTTAAAAGACATGGAAGACATTTTTTCTCAGATGTACCAAATTACATTTAAAATCATAAAGCTTAATTTATAAATTACTTAATTCCTTTACTAATCTGTTGATAGTGGTGGCCACAGAAGAGGTTGTGACTGCGGAATCTGTGGATGGTGCTATTCAGCAAGTTGTCAGTTCTGGAGGTCAGCAAGTTATTACTATAGTTACAGACGGCATTCAGCTTGGTAATCTGCACTCGATTCCAACCAGTGGAATAGGGCAGCCAATCATTGTGACCATGCCAGATGGACAGCAAGGTGAGTGGAAACTTGTACGGTTTGAGCTTGAGGAGCTATTTTAGTTGTAGTAATAATAATAAATTGTTAGGTGAAAACAGCTTGGAGCACTTAGTGTAATTATGAATTTAAGTACATCTTTGAATTCTTATACTGCAAAAGGCTTAGACACATGAGCTGCTGCAATTCAGTGATTTACCACGTCAGCTGAGACTCTGCATTAGGAGAAAGAATGACTAAACTGTACGGAAGAGAATTGGGACTTTTAAGGGAAAAGTGATAACTACTTGCCTTGCCTTCAGTAAGTTTGATTCTTGTGAACTTGTTATGAAAACTAAAAGGTGGAGTAAAACAACAATCTTATTCCAATACTTACACTGTTGCCTTGCTCGAAAAGATTATGTGGAGGTGAGGCTTGGATTTAGAAATCTGCTGCATGAAGCAAGCTGTGCAAATCCCATGGAGTGTGTTCTTAACAGAACAAAAGCCAAGTCTCTTATATGTTTGAGGTTTTAGAGGAGCGGTGGCAGAACCAGTGAAGCCAGGGTGACACAAATTGTGCTGTTGGGTTGGGCCATTTGTGCTTTTGTTTGTGGAAGCTGTTAGTGTAGCAAGTGCTATTTTGTGACATGCGTGTGTTTTGCGTGGTTTCTTTTAAAGATGCTTTGCCACTACTATTTAGACAAAAATGATTCCTTCTCTGGTTTCTTCATGAAGACTCCCAGTGTGGAGCTTGAAGAGTTGTACACACATTATTTGGCTCACAGTCTGTCTGAACAAGTACAGCCAGTTATCAGAAAGCATGAATGTGTGTAGGTAGTAACTGAAGCGACAGTTATGTTTATTTGCCACATGGTTGCATGACTAAATTAGAGTATGGATTTCTTTAGATCCCTATTTTTTTTCCTCAAGGTTAATAACTACTGGATTTTCAGATTACCAAAGGTGTTCTAATTAATCAGAAGTCAAAGTCAGTTTTGTTTTAGTATTTGCTTAAGAATCATTATAAAGATGGTCTGCTACAGAAATTACAGAATTGACAGGCTGGTAACTCCACTGTAATTCATGTCTGTGTCTGTTTACTATGTGAGAAACAGCAATGACACTTCAGAGTGACAACTAACTATTGTAGACCTCAGTAATAAAGAATTTTAAAATTCTTTAGTAGCATACAGGCAGTTAAAGTTTTTAGTAATTTTTTGCCATACTGACTATATAATGCACTTTAGTATATATTTATGTTCTCATAAGGGAAAGTCTCTGCATTTTGTTGCTGTTAATAAAATTACTTAATTATATGAATTGTATATAGTGCACATATTGTTTGAAGTAAATGTATTTATATGTACAAACATGTTTTCAGTATTAACAGTTCCAGCAACAGACATTGCTGAAGAAACTGTAATAAGTGAAGAACCACCAGTGAAGAGACAGTGCATTGAGATTGTTGAAAATCGTGTGGAGTCTGCAGAAATAGAAGTAAGGAGTATATTACGTGATATGTGTTAACCAGAGTGTTCAGCACTGAGTATCTGGTTGTGGTTTTCTGTGGTGTTCTAAGAGTTCAATTTCTGTCTTACCACAGAATGAAGTGTGTGAAACAATAACTTGCTCAGTCTCCCCTGTTACTGGAATTAATCTTTTACAAAGTTGTTGTAAAAAGAATATGGGAGAGCTGTTTGCTGCATCCTCTAGTTGTGCACATAGAAGTGACTCTTCTAAGTATATGATAATTGAATTTTTTTTCCTTTAAGATCACTAGCTAGTTTTTAAAAGTAGGTACTGATATATTGTTGAGTAACTTGACTCTTTCCGCTAGCAGTGAATGAGAGTACTGTACCCTCATCTTTGTCATGACCACATGCTTGTCCTGATTGTGAGATCATATTTTTAGCAATGTTTCCTTTCCTTTCATGATATCTAGATAACTGTTAATGGAAATGTGAAACAGTAAGATTCTGTGTTTGTCAGTTTTTATCTGCCACCACCACCACCCCAGCCGCCCCCCCCGCCCTCCTTTTCTTTTTATATATGACAAATAGATGTAGCTGTTCAATTTTAAAACTATGGCTTTTTTTATATTAGCCACAACAGATAAGCCATCTCATTTCTTCTTCTGTTACTTCTAACTGTGCTGACCAGTTTTGGTCAAAAGTTTATGAAAATTTCTGTATGCCTTGACTAGGCTGTAAGTTCTCATTTTGTCAACTCCATCATATTTCATTTATCAAAGGCTGTATTCTCCAACATCTGTTTATATTATTGAATTGTCTAATTGAATACTTTTTATTGTACAGTATGTGCTATATGTTATCCATGTCTAATAATAATTACCACCTTTCATCACTTGCATTTCTTGTCCCTAAGTTGTCACATCAGTTGCTTTTGGCCTTCACAGTTTTGTGGTCATTACACGTTAGCATGACAGTTGATATTTTCTTGCTGCATTTTTTTAAATGTATGACTGTTACAATAAAAGCATTTCTTTTGTTCACACTTTTAAACATCTGCCTGAATTATTCGTAAAGGAAATTATGTTTCCTTAAGTAATTTAATAATTATGTTAGGTGAAGGAAAAAAAGAAGTAGATTAGTTAAGGAATAAATTGACCTGTTCCTAATTACAGATAGCTGATATAACAGTACAAGTAATTCTTTTAAGGGGATTACCAGTTTCAATTATATAGTTTAGATACATTCCTCAAACAGCAAGAGAAGTTGGTTTAACTGAGTTACTTTATCTGTTACTTGTAAGTGCCAGTTTTGATGACTGACTTTGCCCCTGCCTGTACAACTGGCAGTGCACACGCAGGCCTCTGCGTGGAGGCCAGTTGACTTCAGGAGTTTTATTGTGGTTCACAGTGCTACCTCACTTTGGTAGCAGGGACATTAAAGAAGTGCACATAAAATCGGTTCACTTCAAACTTCATCGTCATAGAAGGTCGTAGATGCTTGAGTTTGGAGGGAGTGGGACCGCTCTCCTCATTAAAATATTTTTTTAATCTAGAAAACCTTTATTGTTTGGTTCTTTTGCCTCACTGGTGATTCAATCCTTTATTTCATTATAAAGAGTTGATTCAGGGCTAAGAGTGCTTTCTTCAGCTGTTTTAAATTCATAGTGTATGAACAGCTAACTATAGCATGAAAGTCTTTTAAGTTGAATATCCTCCCATTCGTGTGAGGTGACAAAATTTCCTGTGAAAGTATTTTGAAGGACTAAAGCTGTAGTGGTGTTTTTTGATTTTTCTCTTTTGGGTCTGTTAGGTTCAAACATTTCAGCTCATTCTGAAGAGTGATAGCGGTTTTCTTAAACTCTTCAATATTTTAAACATAGGATGGCAGCAAAAAAAAAAAAGAAAAATGTGTTACACAGATACTGTTTTTCATTTTCATGCATAATTCATTAACATATGATGGACAATGATTTTTATTTTCATTCTCGAATTTTACGTTTTCCCATGTTGCATATTTGAAAGGTGACGCACATTAGAACCAGGACAATAATTTCATTAGACTAAAAAAAAATACAACTGTTTTTTCTGTTACTAAAAAGAATGCTTGGTTTCATTATTTTAGTTATGGGTGTCCCTATTGTCAATATATAGACTGGTAAGAAAAGTTCCATATAATGAAGAAGATTCCCTGATAAAATGGAAGATTTCTTAAGAGCACTCAGGATCCTCTAATTTGATTTTTACCTGGGTAGGTTTTTATACTGACCCAAAAGGACTTCAGATAATTAGAACACTTCCAGTTGTGTTCTAAAGAATGCCCCAAGAACACCTGCTGGATTTGATTAAATTAATAGACCAGATACAGTCCTCCCTATTTTAGATGTAAAAGTTAAGGAACCAATTTTCACTGTTCAGTCCACTGTAGATCTGCACAGCTCTTCCAGAAGCGCTGGTTTCTTCCCACTGCCTGGTTAGACAGTATACTTGGCCTCAGTTCCTTAACTCCTTCTCTTTACGTGAGGATTATGACTGTCTAAAAGACTACACCTGTTAGTTGCTGGACTAATCTACATGCTTTGAATTGCTAGTCTGTCTGGTAGATACTGGTTTTATCTTCTTGTCTCTGCCACTGAGACTTGTTGGGATTTGTTTGTTTTATTTATATCCCTTCCTTACTGTGCTATACTCCTTACGAGTACCTGGCTCTGTGTCTCTCTTCTGTGGGAAACACTCTTACCATGTGGTCCGAGAGCCTCTCCACCTCCAAGTGTTTGCAGTCTTCGCGCACTCTGTAGTAGTGATAGCGCCTTGCTTTTTGTAATGCACCACAGAACCAGTGGCCAGTGAGCTAGTGGTGGTTCTTATTCTTCTGCAGCCCAGTAGATAGGGCAGCTTTGCTTCTTGGCAGCATTAGGTTTCTGACTTCTTTTGTGTGACATATTCATGAGAGAAATAATCCCCAGCTCAGTACGTCGCAGAACTCAGTGCCCTCGAGAGGGAAGTGTCACTTTCCACATGTAGCAAGGATCAACTGTTTTGACTGCTTGCCTGAGAACTGTCTTGTAGCTCTTTTCACCAGGTTTCGACTCGATGAGGCTGTTGTACGTAAACTGTTAGCTCCTGTTACACTACACAGCTAAGTTGCAGAAATGGCAGTCTGGTTTGGTTGGACTGGTGCTGGGACATCATTGGTGTATTTCAGATCCTTTGGGATGTTTGCTCTACCGCTCATTTGCCATTTGTCAGTCAATGGCTACATGGGTTGGCCATTCGTGAAGTAGCTTAAAAAACAGAATCCAAATTTTCAGAGGTGCAAGCTGAACTTCCTTTTCAAATAAGTAAGCAAGATCAGGTGAGCTCTCATTTTTTTAGCATACGCTCCAAATGAAGCAAACCCTAGCTAGCTTCCTTCAGCTCTTAAAGCCCTGTGTAAAATCAAGTTGCACTTAATGGCGTTTGTTCTGTTCTGTATTATAGCTAGTTTTTATAACCTGTTCATAACATCTCTCCTTCACGTATTGTTTTTGCTATATAGATGCTGCTGTTAGCAAAGATCCGATCACCTATGTCATTATATTCCAGTACATTCAGCACAGCATGTGACTGCTAAATGTGGCTGAGACAAGTACTGAGAACAGTAGCAAGTAGAAGGGAGGCAAAGTATTTTGTATTTTCAGGCTCTGACTGAGAAAATATGTGAGTGCATCGAAGAGGTGAAGAATAGGGATGCTGTTATGGGGGTGTGGGGGGAGAAACTTCAAACAACTGCTTGAGGTATTAAATGGGAATGTGATACTGAACTGCTGGGATGGGAATAAGGTGAAAAGGCAACTTATTTTCATTGGGCCTCAGTTTTTGATGTGTTTTGCTTCTCTGACAACCTCCCTCCTGTGGTTGCTAACAACTGCAGTAGAAAGAATTATTTGAAATCAAATACTACCTTATTCATAAAAGTATGATGCACTTTAATGAAATGGTATTTGGTTGAAGATCAAAACAAAACTATTTTCCAAGCAAATTGCTTTTTCAATTGGGCTCAGTGCAGCATCAAACAAAATGACAGTACCTACGTCACTGGAGACAGGCATGCATTCTCCTTGGTTCCTAAGCCAGCTTCATAGGAAGTGGCATTTCCCCTATTATTTTGCTTGGAAATCATTTTGTAGCCATCCACAATGAACCTGTATGCAGGATGAAGCTTTAAGTTATTCCTTTTGGACTGAAAAAGCTTATCTAGCTAAATGCCTGTTAATTCATCAAAATGTGGTGTCCTTGGGGATGTAATTATACCTCTGGATTGCATAGTATCAATCACTTCAGATCACTTCAATCACTTCATTTAGAAACCAGTTATATGGGTATTTCGGTTAGTGGGCAGCTGTCACTTTTCAGTGCAAACTGCTGATACTGTCTGATTAGAAGGACAACAGAAAGGGACAATCCTGTTAGATTGGAGTCCAGTCCTATTAGAAGTTGATTTTTTTTTTTTTTTTTTAAAACAACAAAGGGAGTTGAGTAATTGAAGGAATGTTAATATATTATGTTAGTATGTGATCACTATGCTTCCGCTTTTTTATTTCACTCTTTTTGTGTGAAGACTTGCGTGGTATCTTTGCAGCTAAAGAAACTTGGGTTTACTATATTTACACTTCAGGCCTTATTGTGGGGAGTTGTCTGGTGTGATAGTTCATGTCTGATTTACACGGCCGCATTCGTATAGGTTTGCGTAAAAACTGGACAGTTTCTACGTGATACCCTAACGCTTGAGCTGCATGTGAAGAAAAAGTATTTGCCATTTTAACTTGTATTTGATACATATTTGACAAAATATTGCTGGTTCTGTTTCTAATAGGAAAGAGAAACTCTGCAGAAACAACTGGATGAGGCAAACAGAGAAGCACAAAAATATCGTCAGCAGCTTCTAAAGAAAGAACAAGAAGCAGAGGCCTATCGGCAGAAGTTAGAGGCAATGAACCGCCTCCAGACTAATAAAGAAGCTGTTTAATAAAAAATGAACATACTGCAAAGCCTGTTACTTTCAAAAACCTGCAGTACAATCTTGAACTGTACGCTATATAGGTACAGACACAGGATTACGTGGTAGAGAAGATGCTACAAGTTGATAACTGGACTTAAGCCGTGAGCTCTGATGAATTTCTTGTAACATAAAAACTCTGAATTTAGAAATTGTGAAAAGTATTTAAAATGAATTACTGTAAATAGTTGTTTTTTTTACAGTTTCAAAATGAGTTGATAAATCTTTTTGAAGGGATCCAGAAACACGGGAAGCCAATGTTTTTGTGAAATTTTTGATTTTAGTATGAATCTAACTTCTGAAAAACAGAACAGTTTTAAGGGTGATGTTGTTGATTTAAGCTGACAACTTGAATTATGTGACAAAATGAATTAACAGTTATTTCTACATGGTGACAACATAAACTTCTCTGAATAAGACATTTCCAGATGGAAATCTTTGTACAGCTTTAAGTAGTTGTCTCAGATTCTCTGAAAACCGTTTTGGGTTATTTTTTTTATTTTAGGCGGTGAAATTTTTATATTTAATTTCAGATATATCCAAGTAGACTTACATGTATATGAAGCTAATATTTTTAAACTTTTCAGTTTGTACATATGCTGCATGTTTTTATAATTTCTACACATACGTCTTGCATAGGTATTTTTCAGCAAAGATGAGAAAAATTATGAGAAAAATGTTTAGCCTATAGGTCATTTGAAGTAAGCTAGCAGACAGTTTTATTGTGGATGGTATATTTCTTGGAAGAATGTAATTTGTAATTAAAAGAACAAAAAAAAAAATCTTAATTTACATATTAGAGGCAATTTAAAATTTGGTGGTGGAGGCATTGACGCTTCACTTCGTGTGTCTTACAATTTTCCTGTACAAACATTTTCAAGTTCAGTAATTAATACAAAAGAATGTCTCCACAGGAACACAAATAGTAGTTCTTTTAGAATATTCCTATTGATCTCTTTTCCCCAATAGCCTTGAAATTATTTCAGTGATACATTTTTTCTAAACAGACTTTGGCATTTTAATTATGCAATTGGACAAGTAATTTTTTATGTTGGTAGTGATGCTCTTCTTACCTAGCATCATTGTTCTCCACTGTGATGCTGTGTTTGTGTGTGTCTGTGCAGTGATCTATTATGCCTAGGATTTATATAGCACATTACATCTTCAGAGCATTGTAAAATCTTTTGAAGAACCCTTACTGCACTGCCTGAGGCAGGCAAGTGAGTGTTACTGTCTCAATTTTATAACTGGTATAAGCGCAACACAGGGAATGTTAAATGACTGACCCAAGACCACGTGAATCTGTGGTATACCTGGGAACAGATCTCGGGAGTTCTGGCTTCTGGTCCTGTGCTTAGACTGAGCTGCCTTAAGATTGTTCAGTGTTCTGTTACATTAAATTTTGAACTACTGTGCAGATTCCTTTTTTGTAAGATAAAACTCTTTGTGCTTTGCTTTGTTGTTCCATGTTTCACTGCTTTTATGGAATTGTTTATATAAACTTAAGCAAAAAGTCTAGTTTACCTATACTGTACACAGAAGAATTACCCTTAAAACTGTACTCTGGCCTACTTTTTCTATTTTACAATTAAATATCTTTTCCATATATATATAGTGTAGAATCAATTCCGTTTCACTTGTTTTGTATGTGCATTAGAATGTCAAAGCTGTGCTGTGTTAGGCATTCAGAAAAATATGAAAAAACACTTTCAGGCTTAGAATGGCCTTCGGAGGGGGGAAGGGGGAGAGAACTGCGTTCTACAATATGAAGTAGAAATTTCCTCCTTTAAACTTTGACTTGAGCTTATAGAATTGGCAGTTAGGAGAACATCCCGAATATCCTCAGGTTGGTATAAATTTGGCAAATTTGATCCCACTTGGCAAATTTGACCCAAAAATAATCAAAAGATAATAAAAAATGGAAAATCTGTGGTGGTGGTTTTTAGAAGAATTATTTTCAAGAATATATGCTCAGCTGGTACGAGGGCTTGAAGCAAGCCTTGTGTGCTGACTAACTGAATATTGCTATATTTTAGGAGTTTTTTTCCAGAAACTATCCATTATGTCACTAGTGAATGCAGGAACCAGTTGGTTGGGTTAAATGTGCTGGTGAGGCATTGCTCCGATTGAATTATTCAGTAATCAAAGTAACGTTTGTGTCCTCACATCCCACAAACTTAACTACAGTTTAATCTCTGTGAACTCTTAGTAACGATAAGAATTTCGACGTTAGTCGGAGTAGTGATAGTGGCAATGTTCATGTCCAAATGGAGAGTTTCCCACGGTTTTGATGGCACAGATGTTTGTAGCAAACAACGAACAGAACCTTTTCTATTCATTCTGCTTCCTGTGAGCAAACATTCTATTCCTCATTGTCTGTAACAAAATCCTTCCAAGTGTGGGGTAGCTATAACAAAAATTTATTTATCAGCAGCAATATTTACCCTGCCTGCAATTCATTATCGCCTCTCTTATTCTAGTTCCGAACAGGACCTGCTGTTTGTTCTCTGCTGCACCGAATGAGACACCAGCCTGATCAAACTGTCAGCTTTGAGCTGAAGGCCTAGGGTGTGGGTCGCGTGGAACATTTATTGCGTGGTTTAGCTCTGAAAACACTGTGAAAAGTATTGCTCCTTATTTGCTGTTCCAAATTGAAATCATAAATGTAATTAGCTACCAGCTTTCTTTGAACAGGCATCCGTATATGAAAGTAATGTATCAGTTACTTGCGATGAGGTAAAATCACAGGTTTTTGGGAACTCTGAGCTCTTTCTGAGTTGGTCCTGTGCTTGATGCCAGCCCCTTTTCCCCTTCTTTGTTCCCTTTCTGGTAGCATTTACAGTAATGCCAAGAGAGATTCATACATTGATACTAAGTGTGTGGGCAGCATGTTATTTTTTTTTCCTAATGCTTCCAGAGAAATGTGAGATAAAGCAGATGAATATATGTATGGTCTAGGGTTTTTGTGCACTTCTTGCACTTCTTGTTTCAATGCCTTTTTTATCAATATTTTTTATTTCAGCATATTAATCTGATGTGCATGTATCGGAGCATCTTTGTCATATCTGTGAAACAGTTCTTTCTCAAATATCTAATCGCAGCAGAAACTAGGAAAGGTTTTCACACTATTCTGTAGAAGTACGCTGTGGAGAAAGACGTAGCTGTCCAGAATAACGAAAGGCTATTTAGGCTGCGTTACAGTACGAGGCAGAAAACTAAAGCTGCTCCGACTGCCCCTTCTCTTCTGGGTGATGAGAACAGAGAAACTGCTGTCCTGTGTCAGACGAAGGGTCTGCCTAGCCTGGTATCCTGTCTCCAGCAGGGCCAGCCCTATGCAGGAGCCTAGGGAATCACAGAAACGGGGCAAGCGTATATTGTACTACGTAATACTTTCTCTTCTTGGTGCTTAGTCCGTAAGTCCTACCTCTCTCTTTTCCCAGGGCTGCCTGGTATCAGTGTAGGGCAAGTGAGTTCCGTCTGGTGAAGATCGTAAGTGCTCAACGGTGAGTGCACTGTCAAAGGTTGTGCTGCCAAAGATAGGGCAGGGTCTGTTTTCAGGCCCTAAAACTGGAACAAGGGAAGGTCTACATGGCTGTTCTTCCAAACAGAGAACAACCCAGGTGGAGGACTTGGAGGAATTCTAGAGACACAAGACCAAATCCCAGTGCTTATGCATATCATATGTGAAAAAAGCAAGCACACTGGGGGGTGAAAGATGCGTTTTCCCAGCTCAGCAGTCTAGGGCGATGCCAGTGGAGGAACATCGCCGGTCGGTGTAGCCTGGTCTGGTCTGGAAGGGTGAGAAATCCGCAGAGGGGATCATTGCTGCTTTGGGTCGCAGTTCTGGTACTACCTGTCCTTCCAGCAGGAAGGGACTGCGAGTGTAGCGGCTGAAGACTTGTGGGGATGCAGGTGTACTCTCTTCTCAGGAAAACTCTGTCCCACAATTCTTTAAAAAAAAAAAAAAAAAGTCCCCCCCCGAGTCCCCGCCTGCAGTGTCAAATTTGTTACGTGCTGGTGCCTTGTTTTAATGACTGCTGCTAGTGGCGATAGTTTGGTGTGCTAGAGTAACACGGCTGCTTTTATTTCATTTTGGAAGCTCTTGGGCTTTTCCTCTCCCATAAGCCTGATGTTAATGTGTCTTATATTCATGACATGGATTACTGCGAGACTTCTGAAAGATTGTTTGAAAATGGGGAATGGTTAGCGCAGAGGCAGCTCCTCTTAGAGATACGCTATCTTATACATCAAAAGAGCACAGATGAGAACACAGAAGAGACTCTAAAAGCCCTCAGTTGGGAGGAGTTACACTCACCAGTAACCTGCCTACGTTAAACCTTTTCCAGAATGCGTGAGTCTGAGAGAGAAAGGGAGCTATAAAGGGCGAAGCAGCTAGCAGGGCACCAGACCAAACTGCCCGCAGCTCCTGACAGGTCGTGGCCCAGGTTTGAAGAGGAGCTTGTAGCAGGGATCAGTATGGAGCCTGAGGAGTACAGACGGAGAGGTGAGTGATCCTCTGCTTGTGGAAGTACGTGGCGTTTGCTCACAGAGATCAGCTGTTGTAGGGCTGGGAGTGGTACCCAGGAATGAGGATGGGCTATATACTCTTTATTGGCACATGTCCTTAAGACTTGGATCTGCTGGGGCTGAGGCAAAAGTGTGTCCCAGGGGTGAGTTTAAATTAACGAATTTAGAGTCAGCGGATGGTTTGGGCTTTTGGGTCTTACATTTGAAGTACTGTGAGAAAGCTGCAAAACTCTGGTTCTGAGTAAACTTGTGCTAAGGGGTTATGCACAGTGGCTCTTCCCCAGCTGACACCATGACACTTCAGTGATACTGGAACAGTTTTGGAGATGGGGAGCAGACTTCGGTGCCAGGGCTGGAGGAGATTGCCCGAAAGGCGCAGGGAAGGCGTGGGGCTGTGCAGCTGTTTTCAGAGAATGCAAAAGAGGGTATGCCAGAAGGACAGGGACGCATGGGGCATATCAAAACTTGATTTCTATAAAAAGTGATTTCAGTTAATTTGTAGGCAAGAAAATCTGTCTATCAGTAAACAAACTGTCCTTGTACCATGATTGTATTTTAAAGGTACATTTGAACTATTCAACGACAACACTGAAATAACCCTGTGAATTTGTTCTGTCCCCATGAAGCCTGTTCTAGAAGCTGTGTCCCGACATAATTAGATGGGACGAGCAGGGTGTAGGAACAAGGTTAGTTCCTATGGCTGTCCTGGGAGCAGTATTTTGAGCCCTGTCCAATGCTCATGACAGATTGCATGAAGTACTAGTACTGCTAGTTAGTTTTCCTGCGAGTGAAACTCAAAGCATTGGTTTGCCTCTTCCAGGAAAAGAGATGGTGGATTACATTTGCCAGTACCTGAGCAACGTGAGAGAGAGACCAGTGACTCCTGATGTACAGCCAGGTTACATGAGAGCCCAGCTGCCAGATTCTGCCCCAATGGATCCAGACAGCTGGGACAACATCTTTGGAGATATAGAGAAGATTATTATGCCAGGGGTAAGAAATGAAGTATAATCATGACAGGAAAAAGTCATTACTACCTGGGGTGAACACCAAATCCTGGGAATGCACCGGTTCTGCAGAACATTTATCTAAATAAGTAAAACACCCAAAATGTAGAATAAGTCTTGTAGACATTATGTCCACAGAAGGATTTTGGAAACTACTGTTGTGTTAGAATCATAGAATTATAGAATCATAGAATGAGGCACAGAAGGATTTTGGAAACTGCTGTTGTGTTCCTAACTACAACAGATAGACTGGATGTATTTTTGAAGTATTTTATACGTTAAGAATAACTCACATTTTCTTAGAGGGAAACAATGATTTTCTGACACCGGTGAGCTTAGCTTCCTGAACTGCATCATCTCAACTTTAGAGATGTAGAAACTCTGGCACAGCAAGGTGAAACATCTCTTGCCCATGGTCATGTACATACAAGATTTGTTTCCTGTTCTTTGAATGTAAAGGTCTCCTTGCTCTTGTGCATAAATACTGGAGATTCTGCTAAGGGAGCTTATGTTACTTAATTAAACATTTTATGTAAGAAGTTGTTTCAAAGTCTATTTTAAAATTTTCTTTATAGATATTTGCAGAAACTTGGTCTGGTATGGGAGAGGTATTCACATTAAACATGCTTACACTGGTGTCCCACATACAAGCTCCTTCAGGTGTACAGAGGGGCGCTACGTAGTTGTAAAATGCTGTGTGGAGCTAAAGGCAGGCTGTTGTTTGATGACAAAATGAGCAAGAGCAGCTTTGTTGCAAGGATTCCCCCTATAAAGATAAGTATTTCGATAACCGTTTCTGACTGTTACGCAATGTGCAAAAGACCATTCTTTCCTGTTCAGAATCTTTGTCTGCCTGTTGAATTCAGATAAATGCTTTTGCTATAATTTGGAATTTATCTAATAACGACACGGTGTTATCATTTGCTAATACTGCACTCCTGTTTATGTTATCTCTGCAGCTTTCTGCTAGCAGATCTATAATTGCACATGTATGTTGCTGTGATCATTTTCCATCACTTTAAACAGATGGTAATCACTACATCTCCTGCAGAATTTTGTGACATTTTCCAACTT